TTTGTCTGTTTTATGCACTGTTCTGTAATTAATTTGAGCAATTTTTGCGATTTTGCTTAATTTATTGACTGCACTCAAACATTGCGCATACGACGCGTATCCCAAGGGCCTCGCAAAGGGACTGCTGCATGGCTCTGGCTGTGGGGACGCAAAATCAATGCTAAAATATGCAAATTTTTATTTGCGCGACAATTTCAATTTAACGACAACGATGGCAACGGCGACGCTGACGCTGACGGTGACGACGACAGCGCACAATTTTCTATTAACATTGGGTTACTTTTTTTTCCCCCATTTGCTTTGTTTTGGGTAGCGAATTACCCTCAGCAGTGCCGTTAACACCACTGTGTAGCCACACCCCGTACCCACTCCCAACACGCCGGCCCCAAGCAGCCCCACGGTGAGCGCAGTGCTGTATAACGAATCAGGCAAAGGGGGAGGCGAGGAGCGAATGGTTTTCCGAAAATGGGAAATCTGTAAGCAAAGTTTGGGCGCATTTTAAGGCCACGCTATACACATTGAGCCATTCGGGGGATCATAATGCGTGCGCCCACGTTATGGCGCCTAAATGTGTCGTTTTTGGTTGGATGGTGGGCGAACAAGACTGAGAAAGGGTGGGCAGGGGCCACAGAGCGTTGGCATGGCAAGCCAACTGAGACACGAGCTTGATCCACGAATAGTGAAAGCAAATTCAATAGGAAAAGTTTATATGCTATGAACATTTCTTATTAAAACTATGCAATGCACTTTGTTTAGTTGTTGGGAAATCAATTTGGAAACTGCTTTAAGTCGAAGTAAACTTTCAAGTGGCCACGAGTGTGTTTCGTGTTTAAGCGCAGAATTGTCAGCTTAATTGCAATAACTAAACACAACATAAATGATTATCATAGGCACTCATAGTCGAAGTTGGTGAGTTATTGAGAAGCTTTTTAAAATGTACGTACAATCCGAAATACGCATTACGAATGGCCCGAGTCAGCTTAAGCTGTTTGGCTCCACTTCTATCCACGTCCCCATTCTATGAGGCCATGGAGCAGTGGAACAGTGAAACTTCGGCGCCAAGATTTATAGCAGCTGCTGCTGGCGCGGCAGCCAGAAGCGAAACCCATACGAAAATAACTTTAGCGGAAAAGTGCCGACAAAATACAAGAAAATGCTTAACCAACAAGGCGGTCAGAGTGGCATAGTCACACAAACACACACACACACACTCGCACACACGCGCAAGAGATCCCACTTACAGTTGTTTGGGATCCTGGAGCATTGGAGCCCTAGAGCCGAAAATGCCAAACGCTTCGTTGCGCAGTGCCAAAAACTTCATGAATTTAATTACCGAATTTTTTCGCTGTAATTACAAAATTCTTTTGGCCAAAAGTGGAATTTTCATTTCGTTTTCATTAAAATATTTTTGCTAGTAAGTGTTTACAAATATGCCAGACGCCACGCCCACGCCCCATATCTCTCCCCCACACACTTACACTCTCATATATGAGCCTTGTAAATCTAACCAACTTGGCAACTTGGCAGCTTGGCCAGCAGATCCGCATCTGTTTACGAGCTGCTGACGCAATTACTCAGTTATTGGCCCGCAAAGCCGCAAATCATCAACGACGTTGACTTGGCCAAGTAGGCCCACATTTTGTGCAGTGTCTACTTGCATGTGCATTATTAACTCGACCACGATAAGCTCATAATGAGGCCGGATAATTTGGTACCCTCAAGTGTGCGGTCTTGTGTGTATCTGCATCTGAATCTGTATCTGTAGCTATTTGTCTTTGCCAAGCAAACTAAAATACATGGTGCTTGTAACGACACATTTATTTATTCACTTCAACTTTGACTTTATTCAAAGTTTGTATGTTTCCCATTTACTCAGTCGTGTTAGACTAACCTTAAGGTGGCTTGAAGGATTTCGTTACTTTCTATATAATTTGTACATCCGGAAGCCATGGAAAATAGATTAAATGCGTATACTGTGCAAATGTTACGGAAGACAGGGGTAAACACCTCCGTCAAGCTGAGTTGGTCTAGCCATGTTCGTCCGTCTGTCACTCTGTTCGTCAGTCCTCAGAAATTGTCTCTAGCTTTTTTATGTACACAAATTACTTAAAAGCAACATATAAATTTTGATAAATTTAGATTTTTGAATAACTCGAAAATGAGAATATCTCGATACACTTAATATGTCAATTCTTGTATAGTAATTAATATTTCACTCTTGAATATCTTGAATATCTTCCCTTATGTCATCAAACTTAATTTTTTTTCTTTGGGATGAAAAAACTATTTTACTTAAAATCTGACATGCGTCGACAATTATTAAATGTTTTGAAGGGCACTTACCTGGCTGTGCTTCATTTAAAGTTATTTCCTATTGTTATTTATGTCGATGTTTAATTAGCGCGAGTGAGGGGAGGGGGCATGATTGAATTATTTTGGTTCCTTGGAAAATCCAGCGGGTGTACTCTCTTGACACTTCGTCCCAGACCCATGGGTTCTTGAGAATACTGTGGAAGAAAGCGTTGTCATGGTAAATATGCATTGCAAACGATTCGCAGTGCCTTGATTTGAGATATCTGAATCAATCTTAGGTTGCATCGGCTTTCTGGCTTATCAATTGGAGCCAATTGGAATGGGTGCAGTGACCGGAAGTTCAAATTCTGATAGCCGACTAGCGGATATATTTTGTACTTATTCATGTACACGTTGGAATATTTTTCATTTAGCAATGTGCCCAACCAGACCAATATTAGCAAATACATGTATTAATATTGAGCATCACCACCTATCGGACAAGTTCAGTACCTATTTATGGGTACAAAATTTTGAAATATTGAAACGCGCCACCTATCGGCTACGTTCAGTACTTACTGATTTGTACACAATATTGAAATAATTTAATAGCCTCACCTATCGGACGTAAAATGTACCAAGTTTTGTGTGCACAGTTTACAGTATTAGTTTGGTTTGGTTTTTTGAGTCAATGTTGTAATAGCTTAGCACCTTTTCGTAACCTTATATTCCCTAACAGCCCTGCCTACGGTGCATTATTCAGTTCCTCAACCAACGACTTCACTTCTATTGAAAAATATCGATAAATAACATTCAAAAATATAAAAAGTTATTTATCGATAAAAAAAAATCCCTGTTTTAGCTAGCTTGTGACATAATTCCTAAACAAAAGTGATTGTTTTTAAACCAAGCTGTCATGAGATTGCGCTGGCAGATAGTCAGTGGCTGTCTGCGACAAAATTGGCGTAACCAAAGCAATGCAGCTGCAACCACAGCTGCTGCTGCAGGCTCTGCTACCCCTGCCACACAAACGTCACCCACCAACTACTCGCACAGCAGCACACGTGAAACTTTCATTGAACGCATAGAACGTGGACCCGGCCTGAAGGACTTTTTCACAGTGAAACCTAAGCGGAGGCTGAGGGAAGAGGACAACTCGCATGCGGAGGACAATAATATACCATACCTGAATTCAATAGACTACAATGGCCATGGTCGGCGGGTGCACTTCGAGGTGTATGGCTGTCAGATGAACACAAACGATACGGAGGTAGTGTGGAGCATTCTGCAGAAACATGGTTACCAGCGTTGCGAAGATGCTGCAAATGCTGATGTCGTAATGCTTGTGACCTGCGCGGTGCGCGATGGAGCCGAACAAAAGATATGGAATCGTTTGCGACACTTGCGAGCATTAAAGGAGCGGCGTGGCACCAAACGTCAGCCGTTACAATTGACAATCCTTGGCTGCATGGCGGAACGATTGAAAGAGCGACTACTCGAGCAGGAGCAATGCGTGGATGTCATTGCCGGTCCTGATAGCTACAAGGATCTACCAAGACTGTTAGCCGTAGCTCGCCACTATGGCAACTCGGCTATCAATGTATTGCTCTCACTGGACGAGACCTATGCGGATGTCATGCCCGTGCGCTTGAGCTCGGATTCGCCCACAGCCTTCGTCTCGATTATGCGCGGCTGTGACAATATGTGTTCCTACTGCATTGTGCCCTTTACACGTGGTCGCGAACGTTCCCGTCCACTGCAGTCAATAGTGGGTGAAGTGCTGACGCTGCAGGAGCAGGGTGTCAAAGAGGTAACCCTTTTGGGTCAAAATGTCAATTCGTACAGAGACAAAAGCTCCGAGCATCCGGACAACCCCGCTGTCAATTTGGCCTCAGGTTTTAGTACGGTTTACAAGCCGAAAACAGGCGGATTACCATTTTCAGTGTTGCTGCAAAGTGTGGCCGAGGCTGTGCCGGAAATGCGCATACGTTTTACATCGCCGCATCCAAAAGACTTCTCCGACGAAGTATTGCGCGTCATTCGCGACTATCCCAATGTCTGCAAGCAGCTGCATCTGCCCGCGCAGTCGGGCAACACGGCGGTTCTCTCCAGAATGCGCCGTGGATACACACGTGAAGCTTACTTGGAGCTGGTGTCACACATTCGTCAAATGCTACCTGATGTAGGTCTCTCCAGTGACTTTATTTGCGGCTTTTGCGGTGAAACGGACTCTGAGTTTGAAGACACCATATCACTCATCGAAAGTGTGCGCTATAACGTGGCCTTTCTGTTTGCCTACAGCATGCGCGAGAAGACCACAGCCCACAGACGCTATGTGGACGATGTCCCAGCTTTGGTGAAAACCGCTCGGCTGCAGCGCATGGTGCAGGCATTCCGAGAAGGTGCCACGCAGTTGCATAAACGTTTCGAGGGGCAGGAGCAGCTTATACTGATCGAGGGCAAGAGTAAGCGGTCCGAAAACTTTTGGTTTGGCCGCAATGATGCCAATATAAAAGTCATTGTGCCTGCCGCCTCCCTGCCTACAGCCGAAGCTAATGTGAGCGCAAAGGATATTAACGTGGGTGATTTTGTGGTCGCACGGATCGTAGATTCCAATTCACAAGTCCTCAAAGGCATACCGTTGCATATCAGCAGCATTGGCAGTTACTACCATAGCAGATAAATTTAAATTATGCGGCCAATAAAAATGGTTTTCCAGATTTAATCACACTTATTTACTGTACGTCACGTTTCCATTGGGGGATCGCCATTGCTGCCTTCTTTTGTCGCCGCGGCTTGCTCAGCACTACTGCCATGATATTTGGCTATATTTCTACGATAGAACTCGAAGATTTCAGCACTGGCCGCGCGGCAAATACATTCAATATCATTGAACTGAGCAATCTTGAAGGCGCCTTTCGTTTGCACCAACAGAAGATTCCCATCCACAGAGTCGAAGGCAAATGTGAAGCTAGCTTGCTGATGCAGGGTCTCGTTCTGATCTGGGTCCAGCACAAATTCACCCTGTTCATTGATTATGCAGTGTACTGCCGCAAAGCTGTACTTTAAGGGCAGGCCGCCAATGAGCATGGCTAAACAGGCTGCATTCAAGGCGCACGCATCTATCTACAAAGCAACTACTTTAGTCGATAAGCTTAGCAATACAATTTGAATAACTTACGCTGCCACGATCCTCTAACTCCTGCACCTGCACTGACATTTTTGCACGCGGATATGCTTCACTCAGCAGGGCCAGTTCCAAGACATCTCGTATGGCCGCCTCACGTATGCGCTCCTTTACCTGTGGCAAACCGGCTTTAGGACGATAATTGCACTCCAAGTAACTGCCTTCAATGCTTAGGTTTTGTGTCTTCACCTCAATCGGGCCCAGCACAGCGGCTATGACTACTGTGGCGCCTACAGAATAAAGTGACTATCTCAGCCGGCATTCTAACACAATGCGGAAAGCATTACAAACCTTGGCTATACATGACAGAACCATCACAGCGGGAGAGCGCATTAAATTTGCAGTGCATCTCGCGCAATTTATCTTTCGAGGCTTCTTCAATATCTGTTTTACTCATTTTAATATTTAATCAAACCGAAAAACAACGTGCGCGAATGAGATTTAACAAAAAGCGAATTAGTGATGAGCGATATATACCCAACAGTTACTCGATGCATGTATTATAGGGCCTACAAATAAATATCGAATCAACAGGTTGTACACATGAAAAGCACGCAAGCCACTTTAATAAAATATTTGTCATTTTGTAAATCACAAGTTTATTTCAAGCATTTATTTATTTGAGCATGAGCCTTCCTGCTGGTAAACATTTGCATTGCCAACTTACGTCAGCATGCAATACAATGTTAATTTTGCACTGATATTTTTCTGTGAGCTGCGTACCACCGCCATCTCAAGTATTTAATATTTTGTCCCACCCGTGACTTGTAACTGATACAAATACAATGCCATACAAATACCAGAGGTAAAATCTCAAAAGCTTGTTCATTCCACAAAGTAAACGCCCGCAGTTCAGGTTAAATCGCTCTCAATAAATAAAAGCAAAGCAATGTCTGGTAAGCCCCACTTGCAGTATTAAGTATTAAGCTTGTCCAGGGTCTTATATAATTACTTATAAAGGCGCACAATAATTTACAGGTGAAAATCCATTTGCGCAATTCGAGAAATCCTTCATTAAAGATGGGACGGTGTACAAGTACTTTGATCTGGCTTCCATTGATAGCAAATATGGTAAGTTTTATGTAAATCTCGATTCCCTGGCTACGTGGTAACATTGTCGACCCGCCGATATCGTAAAGGTACAGAAATAGCTGCATCAACACCTGTTCAATGCAAAGAGCAACGACTTGAAGTTTGACCCCAACTTCCCAGCAGCGACCGCTTTAATTTGCAAGTCCAAACAGTGTCAGTGGGTAGGTGAGACTTACTTAACGACATGGGGCGTCATTAGTCCAGTCTCAGCTTTCTAAAACTCGCCTAGCGCTTAGCTGAAAGCGAAAGTTATCAATGTGATTTGCTTTATTGAGGGAGGTGAGGGGTCGGCGCGGATCGTTCGGGCATGCCAGGCACACGACGACACCGGCATGCTTTGATAAGGTCCGACTACATTATATTGTACGTTAATATAGCTCTGGTATTATGTCGACAGTTATCAGCATGAGCTAGACAAATTCAACCTGCTGTTATCGGACAAAATCGTGGCCTGATGCTTCAGACATGCGTGTGGAAAACATAATTTTGTGTATGCTTGTGTGTATTTTCTATGCATCCATATAGTAACGGAATGTTTTAAAGTGAGGCGCGTGTTTCTGGGCACCTAAGGTGAGAACTTTCCAAGTACTGTTTGTTACCCAATCACAAAGGGCAAGTGCTTGAATCGAAAACAAGTGCCCCTAATAAACGCCGCTGTTTGCTGATAAGTATCTGTCTTGTTTGATTTTGAAGGTGACTAACCGTAAGTAAAAATCCATTTGCTTACAGATCAGCTGCCCTACTCGATTCGTGTACTTTTGGAATCTGCGGTTCGCAACTGCGACAACTTTCATGTACTCGAGAAGGATGTACAGAGCATTTTGAGCTGGACGCCAGCTCTGAAGCAGGGCTCCAATGATGTGGAGGTGTCATTCAAGCCAGCGCGTGTTATTCTGCAGGTGCGTTGCATGTTGTGATCAACAGGTATATTGTTGCTTTATGTAATTTGAATGGATGAATTTGAAGGACTTCACCGGCGTCCCTGCCGTTGTGGATTTTGCGGCCATGCGTGATGCTGTCTTAGATTTGGGTGGCGATCCCGAGAAAATAAATCCCATCTGCCCTGCCGACTTGGTCATTGATCACTCCGTGCAGGTTGACTTTGCCCGCGTCCCAGATGCCTTGGCAAAGAACCAGAATCTAGAGTTTGAACGAAACAAGGAACGTTTCACGTTTCTAAAGGTGAAATTTGCGTAGCATGAACTCTAACATTCTGTGCTAGATTTATAATCTCCATTGACTTTCAGTGGGGTGCCCGTGCCTTCAATAATATGCTGATTGTGCCGCCTGGCTCGGGTATTGTGCATCAGGTAAACTTGGAGTACCTGGCCCGTGTGGTTTTTGAAAGTGATTCTGGCGATGGCAGCAAGATTCTCTATCCCGACAGCGTTGTCGGCACCGATTCACATACTACTATGATCAACGGCTTGGGTGTGCTGGGCTGGGGTGTGGGCGGTATTGAGGCTGAGGCTGTGATGTTGGGCCAATCCATTTCTATGCTGTTGCCCGAAGTCATTGGCTATAAGCTGGTTGGTAAACTAAGTCCTCTAGCGACTTCCACGGATTTGGTGCTCACCATTACAAAGCATTTGCGACAATTGGGCGTGGTCGGAAAATTTGTTGAGTTCTATGGACCAGGTGTAGCAGAGCTAAGTATTGCGGACCGTGCCACAATCAGTAACATGTGTCCCGAGTATGGAGCTACCGTGGGCTATTTCCCCATCGACGAGAACACGCTCGGTTACATGCGGCAAACAAGTGCGTAGCAAACTGTCAGATGTTACGTTTTTGACTCATTGAATTATTTATATACTTACAGATCGATCTGAGAAGAAAATCGACACTATTCGTGAGTATCTGAAGGCCACGCAACAATTGCGTAACTATGCCGAGGAAGCTCAAGATCCAAAGTTTACTCAGGTTAGTTGATTGCATACCTTAATAAAATTTGTATTCACGTATAATCTTACTTCCAGACCATCACCCTGGATCTTTCAACGGTAGTTACCTCTGTATCAGGACCCAAACGTCCGCACGATCGTGTTTCTGTTTCAAACATGCCCGAAGACTTTAAGTCATGCTTGTCCAGCCCTGTAAGTTGAACAAATTTCACTCTTATGAGATAAACAAAGCCCAGTGATGCTTGGACATCTGACAAAACTGAACTTGGTGTATCCCATAAATTGAAATCCAAATCACTTCTAAAAAATTCTCAAACTGCTCCCCGAACCGTCTGTTAGGCTGCTTACAAAAGAGCTATCTAAAAGAAACAGCAACTGTGATATGTGAAAGCTTCTAATGTAAAATCACGGCTACTATTTCCTTAGATAACTCGATATAAATCAAAATCGCTGGAACGTAGACTTTTTGTATCACTTGTACTTTTTTCTCACAGCGAATTGTATTGATGTGTTAGCTTAATGATTGCGAGTCCCTCATAAGCGGGCACACCAATGCAGTTAATTGTGAAATGCCGTACCAAGTGCATTGGCAAGACACCACCACGTAACGCTCAGAACTGAAACCTGGCTCTTGGCCAGCTAGCTCTTATAAGCACCGTTGCGTTCAATGGCCGCTGCCAACGCATCAAGTTTCCAACGCCAGCAGCACTGGCTGATCGGTTTTGGTTATTACCAAAAATTGCTGAGAATGCGCTATATTTTCTGGCACGCTCGATATTTTTATGCCGAATTTCTAAAATTGTGAAGTGCTATTGTTTTTATTGCAATTCGTTGGACTTTAACGTTTTCTGAACCCGGGCCTGGCCTGGCCTGGCCTGACTGCACTGATGGGGCCTCACGCGGCCGCTTCCGCAAACAAACTGACCTACAAATAGTTCGGGCACAGCAGGGTCATTGAACTACCAGTCGATTTGTCTTTCCGCATAAATTTAATCAGCGTTTTCTATTGTTGCCACATTTTAGGTCGGCTTCAAGGGTTTTGCTATTGCACCAGAAGCCCTTGCGGCCAGCGCCGAGTTCCAGTGGGACGATGGAAAAACCTACAAACTCCAGCATGGATCCGTTGTCATTGCTGCCATAACGTCCTGTACGAACACCTCAAATCCTTCTGTGATGTTGGGTGCAGGTCTACTGGCCAAGAAAGCTGTCGAGAAAGGACTTAGCATTTTGCCTTACATCAAGACGTCACTGTCGCCTGGATCAGGTGTAGTGACCTACTATTTGAAAGAGTCTGGTGTTATTCCTTATTTGGAAAAGCTTGGCTTTGATATTGTGGGCTATGGTTGCATGACGTGCATTGGAAACTCAGGTCCTCTGGAGGAGAACGTGGTAAACACCATTGAGAAGAATGGCTTAGTTTGTGCCGGCGTCTTATCGGGCAACCGTAACTTTGAGGGTCGCATTCATCCCAACACGCGCGCCAATTACTTGGCTAGCCCCTTGTTAGTGATTGCGTATGCCATAGCCGGGCGCGTTGATATTGACTTCGAGAAGGAGCCGTTGGGCGTGGATGGTAATGGAAAGAACGTGTTCCTTCGCGATATTTGGCCAACGCGCACCGAAATACAAGTAGTAGAGAACAAGCACGTTATTCCAGCTATGTTCCAGGAGGTTTATAGTAAGTGAACGTAAAATGTTGGGAATTATATATAATAACTGTTATCTGCTTATAGGTAAGATCGAAGTGGGCTCAGAGGACTGGCAAACTCTAAAGGTGTCTGATGGCAAGCTGTACCCGTGGAGTGCCGAATCCACATATATTAAGCGTCCGCCCTTCTTTGAGGGCATGACGCGCACGCTGCCTAAGCTAAAGAGCATTCAAAAGGCGCGCTGTTTGCTCTTCTTGGGTGACTCTGTGACCACTGATCATATCTCGCCCGCTGGCTCCATTGCCAGAAACTCGCCTGCGGCTCGCTTCCTGTCCGAACGCAATTTAACTCCCCGTGAGTTTAATTCGTATGGCTCGCGTCGTGGTAATGACGCCATAATGGCACGTGGCACATTTGCCAACATCCGTATAGTGAATAAACTGGTTCCAAAGACCGGTCCGCGCACACTGCATATACCCACCCAGGAGGAACTAGACATTTTTGATGCAGCAGAACGCTACCGTGAAGAAGGTACACCACTGGTGCTGGTCGTTGGCAAGGACTACGGCAGTGGCAGCTCTCGTGATTGGGCCGCAAAAGGTCCATTCTTATTGGGTGTAAAGGCAGTGCTTGCGGAATCTTACGAGCGCATACATCGTTCTAACCTGGTCGGCATGGGCATTATTCCCCTGCAGTTCCTACCTGGCCAGAGTGCTGAGACTCTGAAGTTAAGCGGTCGGGAGGTCTACAACATTGCTTTGCCCGAAAGCGGTATAAAACCTGGGCAAAAGATTCAAGTTGAAGTATGTATTTTTGTTAATGAAGAATTGGTAACATTAATTAATAATTCAATTCGTATACTCTTTTAGGCCGATGGCACAGTGTTTGAGACTATTTTGAGATTTGATACCGAGGTGGACATCACTTACTACCAGAATGGCGGCATCCTCAACTACATGATTCGCAAGATGCTTTCCTAAACCTTCCCTCTTTTATTTTCTTATTCCACTTGCATTTTTAATACTGTACATTGTAGTCTCCTAAGTTTTCAATATGTGCTGGTGCTTACCCTGATAAATGGTCGAACCAATAAAAATTAAGCCAAAATTTCGTGCAACTTATTTCCTAATAAGTGTGCACTTCACAGTGTATACAACTGAATATATTTTGTTCGTTTCCATAGGTACATTTACTGTGTCGCGCCACTGAATTATTAAATAAATATACCTGTATATCTCCAAATGTATTCAACCTTGAGACCGTAAACCTTATCACAATGGCATCGTCTATAGCTACTGCGACTGAATATTACAATAAATTGATTGCATCCACATATCGTGCATAGTTTTCTAATCAGCATATTAGTCAATTATTAGTCAACGCATTATATAGAGGTTAATCTGTGCCCTCCATTACATTAGGCGTATACATTATATATATAGGTAAGTTCTATTATGGAATTGATAATTGTTGGTATAGGTACCGAAATGAAATTTAGTTGGAGCTCTCAAAAAATCTCCATTCAAGCACAACATGCGACTAATACCGATGACATTAACAAGAATGGTCAAATAAGAAAGAATTGATCAGTTACTTAAAGATCTTGTCTTTTGTAGTATTTTTTACAGTATGGGCTTTAACTTTTTTGATTTTGTCTAATACAGTTTGGTATTGCTTATCATGGCTGCCATTATTATCCACTTTGAAATTGAAATAATCTATTGTCATCTCTATACCAGTCTGATATTGAAAACAATGGTTGATTATTTAAACTCGACGCCACAAATATTAAACATTGCCTTGATTGGCAATCCAGTTGTAAATTTCTGAAGACATGACCTGTACATTTAATTATTAAGTTGGTCGCTTACAATGAAATTTCATCGATATTCATTTTACCAAACTATGCGAAAAATACATACCTAGAATATGGAGCAAACAAGATTTTCAATGTTTCTTATCTCTATATATATTTCGAAGGCTCAAAAACTATGAAATTCACGTTTTTGGTAAATATAGTAAGATGGAAAGTTTCTGTATGTAGGGATCGCAGTGACCGAACACACATCAAATTTATGTTTCACAGTTCTAAAAGTGTATAAATTCTTGGTTTGTACTTTATTACAATGCATGCTAAAACTACATTTCTTTCGAACACACATACATCCAATAAGTGCCTAAATAGGGCGCCCTGTTGTGATAAAAAGGACACAGCTAGGTAAGTACTAGAATTAGAATGTCCAGTTTGGCTTTAAAAAAGTATTATTGTAACATTATTATCAACATCATCATCAATTACATACTTAAATTAATAATGTACAAGTCTGTTATTATGTATACGCGAGCTATATTTTCTGCTTTTAAGCTGCGTTCCATTGCCTCTGGTAGTATAATGTAAAAATCACTATAACAAAAAATGTACACTTTAAGCTATAACACTTTAAGTATTTTTAAGTTAAATTGCATTAGTTATGTACGTAAACATTGCAGAGCGTAACAATTTTTTTTTACTATTTGTAAGATACATTTAAACGCCCTAACAAAAATTATCATTGTTATTAATTTAGCTAATTAACCTGTGCTTTTTACTATTCATCTCGTCAGTTATTTACAAAAGTGGAGCACATGATGCGCTCCAGCTGGTTCAGCAACAAATCTCTGGTGGTTCCTCAGTACGTTGCGTAAATGCAAATGCGATTTTATTTGGTTTTCTTTAGAGTTGTGCGTTCCGTTACCAGCGTATTTGATGCTTGTATTGCTCGTCTATGGCAATCCGTTTGATGGTCTCATAGCCTAGTATAATGCTGAACGAGAAGGCTGCCGACTGCACCAGGCGTGCGGATAAGCCTTTAAAGAAGCAGTTGAGTTTCTCCTCATGCCACAATTCACGGAAAGCAACACTCATTGAGTCTAGACGATGCACCTGCAAGCCAATACAATTTTAATATGTGATAGGAGACAGTTTTGAAGGCGAATCAAAGACTTACCTGAAGGCGTGCCCGTACTATGTCCAATGGATTAGTTAGTATTGTCGTTGTAAAGCCACCTAAGCTGCCGGCCACACATTGGATAAAAAGATGAGAGACCCAGTTGGGGCATATACGATACAGTTCGTCTTCGGTGACATATTGAATAAATATATGTGTGAAGCGTAAATCATTAATGTATACTAGCAAGACAACTTACCCTGATATAGGTGGTAAAACGCCCACCACATAGCAGAGTTGGGGACATAGGCCATTAGGCTGGCAGTGTATCCTCTATAAAAGCCGCGAAATCCATCACGTCGCATTATCTCACGCCCTATGTCCATAGATATATGCAAGCGGCTGCGACCAGGCCAAGATTTAATACCCAAGGGGTTTATATCAGCTTTCGCGCCGGCATGAGCCGACATTCCGAGTACCATGGCGTGTTGTGATATTACGTCAAAAGGAACTATGATAGTCTGACCAACGAGCGACGCACAGCCACCACCAATTAAAGCTTTAAGACGGTGACCAGCACCCAAATCGCTGAGTATGTGTCGCACACCTTCGTAGGTGCTGATGTAAAACACGCCCGATACGATCTGCACTGAAGATATCCAGAAGCCGCGATATAGACCAGGCACGCCCTCGGAGCGGTAGATTTTCATGGCACAATCAATCATGCCTTTATATATATCGCTCTTATGCTGCACCTGCAGCTGAGTCTTGATCACAGTCAGTGGAAACAAGCAACACCGCACCGAGAATGAGCTCAACATGGAAAGTGGAAAGAACTTGGTCTTGTTCATCATGTCCCACTCTATTGTGCGTATGTAGGAGCCCTCCTTCCCATTGAAACTGCTCGTGCCAGCAGCTCCGGTATCGGCCTCCATATTCACGCCGGTGCAGTCCGACATTGTGTTAGCTGTATCTGGAACAGCTGTCGGAGACCGTGCGCTTGCCAAGCTGCGCTTGTTGCATACGTCGCCAGTATGCAGGTGAAGCAGAAGAAACACGCTCGTAAATTGAAATCAGCTAAACCGTTTCTGAATCTTTGTTTACAGCATCATTGTCTGAGGCAGTTTCCGACCAACCTGGCATGCATTAAGTATGTTATATGTTCTTATGTGCAATGAAGATGTTGGACGATCTGAAATGGGAAAAATACCTTGGTATTGAAATATATGTATTTACATTGACGCAATTGGAGATGGCACGAAATTCATTGTGTTCCCAAGGTTAACGCACGGATTCATAAGTATTATTATGCATTCATTGTTGTATTTTGACTTTTTGGTCTTTGTTTCCGATATTGTTATTGTTCACTTGGCGGTAAGGGCTTAAGGATCACCTAGAGCCATATGTTTATAGATGTGTTTGTAATTATATAATGCGTACAGACACAACCAACACCACCGCCTGACCGTTGACCGCGTCATCACCTCTGTTATCAATTGGGCCGTACACAATGCGTAATCAGCATATTTTTAATATGATTTTTTCTCAATAGAGATATCGCTTACTTCCGCAATAGTCCAGCGTATGAACTCTACTTAGGTATATTAATATTTGTTGTTTATTCAGACACCTACACTCGCACCCACCCTGTTCAATTATTATTGTTGATGCTGATTTTGTATCGACCAATCGATATTTGAAACAGGAAAAAATATTTAAATCATTCTTTTTCACATATATGTAAGTAATTGTAAATTTCTATAATTATATTTCATTTGTAGAGGTGAAAACAAATCATTTAATTTTATTACCGACATTTACTACAAGTTATCAGAGACATTTCATAAATACACTTTATTATTTTAGTAACGATAATCGATACTTTTTTCATTCAATATATCGATACGCCAGAATACGCTAGGTATCTATCGCCGTGGAACTTAAAAAGACTGGCAACTCTCTTCCTTACCGCTTGGACGAAAGCACTGGTACTTGCGCGGAATTTTTGAAATTCAAAATAAAACTATGTTAGGTTCTTAATTTAAAATTTTTTTTTTTTTTAATAATTATAAATATTAATACTATATGCACTTAGCAATTTTATATTTAAGAGGTTTCTTTATTGATGAAATATCATTAAACGTAAAAGATTCCGTTTGTGCTTTTCCTATTATTTTCTTATATTTTTGCTATCTTTTACATGTAACTACAATAATTTATAAAAAAAAATAAAAAGCCCTGATTGGCTGTTGCAAATATAAGTTACACGCCAATTACATTCTTGGTGGGCGTTTTGAGTCTGCGCAATGTGACGCAGCATCCTAACGGCCCATCAACCCTTGAACCCCAACACATAAATCATAGAGAACGTTGGACGCATTCTAAGAATTTGTGCAGAGCTAACAGTTGCCACGGCCACTTCATAACCGTTGCACGGTATTGACGGAATGCGCCGATCACTGGCTGTGACTAGTGAATGCCATGAAGTGATTAATAATTCAAAATTATTGATGCACGGAAACAAGGTGAAATCCCATTAGTGAAATTTTGCATGAGAAAAACAATCAAGTTCAAGAGTGCATCCGCCAGTGTGTGTAAAGTTCAGTCAAGTGCGAGATCTAGCGACCTAAACACATGGATACAGTCAAATTGGTAAGATCAACACACACAAAAAAAAAAAAAACTGTTAATCCCGCAGGAAAATTAAAAAGGGAATGATAGCTTAACCTTAAGTACTTAAAGCTTTAATTCGTTCAGACCTTGTTCATACATTAACTCGTATAATAAACTTAAATCCTGGCGGATCACAGATCTCAGCCGTAGCTAAGCGTGTAGCCCATATTTTCCATAAGCGTCTCTTTGATGGCCGGCTGAAGGGCTCTCTGCATGTAGGTGGTAAGCAAACCACGCACGCCCATGGAAAAGAGCTTCTCCAGCTCATTGGACATGGCATCACCTACAAACTCTTCGTGATTGCCGTTAGCGCCACCACTTCCGCCAGAGAAAATATCAGCAAAAGCACGGGCATCTGGTTCGACAAGCTGCTGCAGCTGCTCATCCTCAAAGTGCAATACGTCTTCATTGAAATGTATTTCATCCGAGTAATCGGCGGGTAACGTATTGCGACGACGCCGTCGGCGTCGTTTACCCAACTGTCGCCGTCGGTAAAAGTTGTCGCCA